AGGCTTTTACTCTGATGGCCCAGGTTTTAAATCCTTGTTCAGATGAAGGCTGCTCTTTGCAAGGAGAGAAACTTGCTCCTTTTTCCAAAGAGCTGGGTGCAATCATGTTCAGTATTGGAGAGACCATTTGTAAGGGCATTGCAAAATATTTTGTTTCAATTGTATTATTCACTTGGGTGAAAGAGCCTTTTTTCTTCTGTTTATCTTTAAAAATCCTCCCTAGAGAAAGCTGCCAGTTGGTCTCCGGCCATGTTGACTCAGTTCAGGGGTGGATGTCGTATACTTAGACTTAGACTTCAGGAAGGCCTTCGATAGGGTATCCCACCACCAGTCCGGTGGGTGGCGAATTGGCTGGAGGGTCGCACCCAGAGAGTCGTAGTGGATGGGTCGGCTTCGACCTGGAAGGGTGTGGGCAGTGGGGTCCCGCAGGGCTCGGTCCTTGGACCGATACTCTTTAATGTCTTCATCAGTGACTTGGACGAGGGAGTGAAATGTACTCTGTCCAAGTTTGCAGATGACACAAAGCTATGGGGAGAAGTGGACACGCCGGAGGGCAGGGAACAGCTGCAAGCAGACCTGGACAGGTTAGACAAGTGGGCAGAAAACAACAGAATGCAATTCAACAAGGAGAAATGCAAAGTGCTGCACCTAGGGAGGAAAAATGTCCAGCACACCTACAGCCTAGGGAATGACCTGCTGGGTGGCACAGAAGTGGAAAGGGATCTTGGAGTCCTAGTGGACTCCAAGATGAACATGAGTCGGCAGTGTGACGAAGCCATCAGAAAAGCCAATGGCACTTTATCATGCATCAGCAGATGCATGACAAATAGGTCCAAGGAGGTGATACTTCCCCTCTATCGGGCGCTGGTCAGACCGCAGCTGGAGTACTGCGTGCAATTCTGGGCACCGCAATTCAAGAGGGATGCGGATAACCTGGAGAGGGTCCAGAGAAGGGCCACTCGTATGGTTAAGGACCTGCAGACCAAGCCCTACGAGGAGAGACTAGAGAAACTGGACCTTTTCAGCCTCCGCAAGAGAAGGTTGAGAGGCGACCTTGTGGCTGCCTATAAGTTCATCACGGGGGCACAGAAGGAAATTGGTGAGTATTTATTCACCAAGGCGCCCCCGGGGGTTACAAGAAATAATGGCCACAAGCTAGCAGAGAGCAGATTTAGATTGGACATTAGGAAGAACTTCTTCACAGTTCGAGTGGCCAAGGTCTGGAACGGGCTCCCAAGGGAGGTGGTGCTCTCCCCCCCTACCCTGGGGGTCTTCAAGAGGAGGTTAGATAAGCATCTAGCTGGGGTCATCTAGACCCAGCACTCTTCCCTGCCTATGCAGGGGGTCGGACTCGATGATCTATTGAGGTCCCTTCCGACCCTAACATCTATGAATCTACTTCAAGAGGATAGGCTGGGAATTCAGGCTGATTTGGACAGGCTCACAGGGTGGGTGGATCAAAACCTGATGACATTCAGCACAGAGAAATGCAACGTGCTCCACTGTGGGAGAAAGAACCCACATCATACTTATAGGCTTGGCAGTGCTACACTTGCTAGCACCATGACCGAAAGAGACTTGGGGGTCATGACTAATCACAAGATAAACATGAGCCACCAATGTGATGCCGCAGCCAGCATAGCAAATAAAACCCTGGCTTGCATCTACCAATGCATCTCAGGCAAGGCCCAAGAAGTCAGCCTCCTGCTTTACTCAGCCTTCCTTGATGAGGCTGCAGCTGGAGTATTGTATCCAGTTCTGGGCTTCACACTTTAGAGTACATGGAGAAGCTTAAGAAAGTCCAGAGGAGAACCACATGTATGATTAGAGGTCAAGAGAGCAGGCCTTATGAGGAGAGGCTGAGAGGCATGGGACTCTTCATCCTGGAGAAGAGAAGGCTCAGGGGGAACTTGGTGGAAGCCTGTGGGTGTGCGTCAGGAACTGGGAAAACATCTGTTCACCAGGGCACCCCAAGGGAAGACGAGGTCTAATGGTCACAAACTGCTGAAAGACCAATTTAGACTGGACATAAGGAAAAAATTCTTTACTGTCTGAGGCTCCAGGGTCTGGAATAGACTCCTCCCAGAAGTGGTGCAAGCACCTACTTTGGGTACCTTCAAGAAACATTTAGAACAAGAAACATCTGACCCCAGTTGACTCCTTGCCCTTTGCACAGGGGGCTGGATCCAATGATCTCATGAGGTCTCTTCCAGCCCTAATATTGCTGAAATATATGAATCAAAAGCCCTAATGTCTAGGGATCAAAAGCAAACAGCTACCACCTGAACAGGGACTTGAAACCTGGACCCTCAGATTAAAAGTCTGATACTTTACTATCTGATGTACTCAGGCTCACATAGCCAGTTAGCCCTTCTGTCGGGCTCTCTATACCCATCTTTGGTCAAGGGTCTTTCCAGTCATGAATGCTGTGTGCCCCCAGAGGCTGTGGGGAATGGGAAGCTCCCACAGGCAGCAGAAGCACTATCAGTGGTGGGAGCATAGTGGCAGCAAGCGGGGAGCTCCTGCAGGTGGCTTCAGCACTGTTGGCAGTGGGGCGTGGGAATGGTGAGCACCAACCGGTGGTTGGCAATCACCCACAGATGCTGCTGGCAGTGTAGGTGGGGGCCAGTGGTGATCCTGGACTGCCCGCAGATGCCGCCAGCTCTGTCAGCAGCGAGAGGGGTGGTGGGTGGTGACTGCCCACAAGTGCCACCAGCAGTGTCAGTGGCACCTTTTCACAGAGGGTGCACCACACTCTCGTGCACCCCCTATGCATTGACAATGTTTCCAGTCTCAAACTAATATTATCTGCTTTGCTCTGATGCCTCTCAATTGCTGATATGCAAACCAGGCAGTTTAGGATGAAAAAAGGGTTAAAAAAATAAGGCCCCTTTCTCATTTTGATTTACACAATGGAGAGGTTCTTTCCTTCTTGTTTCCTGTCCTGCTTTGCTTGGCTCTGCTTTTCTTTGGTTTTCAGGGATTTTCACTGGAAAATAAAGACTTTCAGTTTGGTGTGGCACATTCCTGGTTTGTTTTGTCCTGTTTGAACCAGACAACCCAAAATGGAACAACCCAAAGGCCATATTCTCACAGTATAAACTACTCTACAAACTGTTTATACCCCCAGCTTGCCTCCCCATTGCCCTCACTTGAGAGCTTTCAGCATTGCCAAATGTGAGGCCAGCCCTGGGCTCTCAGGGCAATGTGGGCAGTGACTGGCCAGGGAAGGGGGCACTGGTCATGGTCAGGGTGGATGATCTTCCCCTTTCCTGGTTCCTGGGAAGGGCCAGCAGCAGAGGGTTATGAGGGAGAGAACAAAGTTGTGAACAGGAGGAAAGGTAGCACTGAGAGAAATGGAGGGAGCAGGACAAACCAGGTCTGGCAGCCTCCCATGTGCTACTGGATGAGGAGAGAGCAAAGTTCACACTGGTAAGAAGGGCCTACAGGTCCTCTCCTAAATGGCCGAATGGTGAAAGCATTGTGCTTTAAACGCACTGGTTGTAGGTCTAGCTGTGTATTGGTTCCACTCAGAAGACTTCCTCTTACAAGAAAGCTACTTGTGCTAGCTTTTCCCATAAATGCCTTATGTCACTCAGAAGCTTGTACTCAGGTGTGCAGCTAAAGGCCTGAAACTGTTGTTAAAGGCTCTGTGTTGGGAAATATTCCCTTCCTGCCAGGAATCTCCTATTTCCATATTGTTTTCTTTCTTTTGAAAATTACATTCCAGGTCCTGGGGTCAGGGAGAGGGTGACCCTGCAAGTCCCAGAGGGCGAGAATGGCTGGTGCTGGTGGTGTTCCCATGGGAGAGCACAGGACATCCCTGTGCTGATGGTTTAAGGTGGGGCTGGGAACAGAGATGCGAAGCCTCAAAATTAAAACACTGCCAGAATGCAAAACTTACCAGAACAAAAGCAGAAACACTTGTGAAACTCACCAGAAGTGTTGTGTGGTGAAGGTGTTGGTTTTAAAATCTGACACCCATGCCTATGCATGATCTTGGCATCCACTTCAAGTAGATTTGAAGTAGACACTATGATACTATGACTTCTGCTTTTCCTCCTGGCAGTATCATTGAGCTGTAGAGGCAATGCAGGACTGCTCAGACTTGGGCAGACCAGGGGTACCTGGCTCATCAATGATTTTGTGACTTTTGTAGGACTTGCAGCTGTACTTTAAGATGGTTCTCTCATGTCTCAGACATCCACAAACTCTCCACTTCCCAAAGCAAAAACTTGGGGATGTGAGGATGCTGCTTTTCCCCATCAGTGGATGTCCATGTTCTTAGGGTTCCAAGTCTGCCATTCTCTTCCCATTTTCTAACACAAGGAAATAACCGCTCTATATCAGAGATTCTCTGAGTCCAGATGCCAGGGATGGCCAACTCCCCTCCCCTCCCCTCCCCTCCATGTTTCCTTTGGGACCTTTTCCTTGACATTAAGGCTAAGTATAGACAGTTAAAAAGCCTGAGGCTGAATTGATTTAGTCTTTGCAGGTTAGTCTAAGCTGCAAAAATTAAACCAATAAGCAAATGAACAGACATTCACACATAAATGACTGGTGACTCCTGAGTCTGGAGGGGCACCAGATCAATAATGGAGGGGTGGAGGGCATGGTCCTCTAGCAGCTGATCACTGAGCCAGTGGTTCAGGCTGGCACTTCCAGGGGGTGCCTGGCTGATCTCAGGGGGTGCATGTGCACCCGTGTGCACCCCCCTCCTTGTCACCAATGCATTCACATTTGATTAAGTAAATGCAGGCATATGCCTACAGTGGCTTAAGCCAGAAGCTGGAGGGTGCTAAAGCACAGCTCTCTGGCACATAGCCATCCTGGGCTGTATGTCTGCTTCCTCTTCCTGCTGCTCCCAGGGTCTCTGGGATTTGCAGTCCACAATCACAGCAGCAGGAAGGATTGCAGAACTCTACAGGATTGCTTATCACTTCCTCTTCTTGTTTCCAGGTGCTTTTGGGATTTGTAGTCCACAGTTGCAGCCAGCACTAAGACAGCAGAGCAGGGCAGCTCTGTCCTTGGGGGAAGGTGAGTTTAACCCCCCTCCTTGGCTCCAGATCCCAATCAGGGTTTGCTTGGAGGGGAGACAGTGAGCCAACTAGTGAGGCCAGTGAGTCAGCCCTCACTGCTTGAGCTAGGGAGCAGAGGGAAAGGGACACACCTGTTCTCTTGTGAAGACAGCCCAGCCCTAGCCAGGGCTGCAAAGCATGCTGGGATGCTGGGGGACTATGATTTAACTTGGACCAGGGGTCTGGGACAGAATTTTCATAAACTGGGCTGACTTACTCAGTTAAGTTTGATACTACATTCAACAAGGCTTATCTTAATCCAGTTTCAGCCATTTTGAAACTGGTTTATGTGCACTGAACTTTTGTTCTGTTACAGGTTTAAACCAGTTTATGTGTAACTTCTGTCCCTAGCCTAAAACACCAAGCTGGAGGCAGGATGTGGAACTCAGAAGAGCTGGTTGAGAGGGAGAACAGTGCCTCCAACAATGGGAATTAGTTGACCCAGTACAACAGGGGCTTCCATTTTTTTAGGCAGACAATTCCTTGGGGTGTATCTGGGACATCCCTGCCATCTCTCTGTTTTTTGGAAAGCAGAAATGGAAGTGACCCACCTGGTGCAGCTGTTGGAGGGTGCAAGGGAGAGGGGAGTGTTTGAGGCTGACATTGCTTCAATTAAAAAATGTTAAGAATTTCTCCTTAGAGAAGGAACATTTCCAGTGCAAACATTCTGGTATCCCACTGTCAACAGCACATGCCCTCAAATAGTCTGAAAGCTTAACTTTTGTCATGCTTCTTGCTGATTTCCTAGGACTGACAAGCATGGCTCCTGGTGGCCTGGATTCATGCCCTGGAGAACACCTGCAAAGTCAGGAATTTGTGCTCCAGCTCTATCTTTGTAGTGTATGACAGAGATGGACTGAAATTTCATCACCCACAGCCTCTACTGGAGCATGTTTCTCTTGTAGCTCCTCCACCTTGTAAGGTGAGAGCCCAGGTTTCTTCTGATCCATTGCTATTGTCCTACCTCCTGTTCACATGTGTTGTTCCTTAACTGTGGGTGTTGCTGTGTGGTTGTTAAGGGGCTGAGGCAGTGGACTGCAGGTGTTTGAGTTTGAACTTTGTCCCATGTGTTTAAATAATCACTTGGGTAGCTCAGTTGCCCTTGCCCTGTGCCAAATCCCAGTTGAGGCAGAAGGATGTTGCTTTTTACAAGGATCTGGGTGCAGTCATGTTCACTGCTGGAGAGCATGGTTGTAAGGACACTTTTTTGTTTCAATTTCATGGTCCCTTTGTTTGGAGGAGAGCTTTTCCCCCACTCCATTTCTTCCCACTGCATAAAAGTCAGAAAAAAGAGGGACCATGACAAATTGAAGGTTTGGGTCAAAAGGAATCTCATGAGGTTCAACAAGGACAAGTGCAAAGTTCTGCACTTAGGACAGAACAATCCCATGCATCAGTACAGGCTGGGGGTTGACTGGCTGGGCAGCAGCTCTGCAGAAAAGGACCTGGGGTTACAATGGACAATAAGGTGAGTCATTCCTCATGGCGGGGTCTAGGACTATGCAGCTGGTGAGGAAGCTGCTGGCCAGGGCTCTCTGAGCTGTTAGTGGATTAAGCATCGAGGGAGTGGGATGGGATGGAGTGTTGAATGCCTGAGGGTCTCTCCTGTGGTGACGTGTCACTGGTGTAAGTCACACAGATATGGCCTGGGTCCCAGGGCATCAAAATTTGGGTCAGCTGCTGCATAAAGGGCATGGTCTTGTGGGCACAAGCAGACTGACAGTTGTGGTTGGTCACAGCCACCCACTGGGCCCTCAATGCCTTGACCTTGTTGTGGTACTGCCGTGCTGATGAGGAGTGCCCACATTCCTGCATCCTGTCTGACAAGGCCTCATAAATATGGGTGTGCAGGTGCCTGCCCCACTCAAACTGCCTCTGCACCTCTGCATTGCCCTTGTGTGAGAATGTTGCTCTGTGATGTGCAGATTTTTTTGGCTACTATTTAGTTGATCTAATAAAAGATATTGCCTCTCATTCAAGAGCTTTGTGAATCTTTTTTTCCCCAGACCAACATGGCTATAAAATTGATGCCTGAAACATGGAATGATATCATATTTTATCTGCTTGGAAATATAAACTTCATTGCTAAACAAGAAAGAAGAATTTTTAACGTCTCTGGATGCCTCTGACACCAGACACCTCCAGGGCTGAAGACGGCCTAATCTGCACATCACAGAGCAACATTCTCAAACAACGACTCTCAGACCCAGGGGAATACACTTCCAGCTTCTCTCTCCCCTGTGCAAAATGAAGTTTATTTTCTACCTAGGAGGACTTTTACAATCTTTGATTTCTCCTCAGCCCAAAGAAGGGTGCTTGTGCCTGAAAGGTTGAAAAGAAAGGAATTTTTTGCTACTATTTAGTTGGTAAAATAAAATATATTCCCTTTGATCCAAGAGCTTTGTGTATCTGTTTTTTCCCAGACCAACACAGCTATAAAATTGATCCCTAATCACATACTAGACTCTCTAACCTATTGATTTATTGCTTAATTCCTTAAGTCTCTCACTGAATTTTCTAGATTATGGTAAAGTTCACATAGTACTCTGAACTCTCTCTTTCTTCTTACCTGGTGGAAAGTAGCCAGTTGGGTCCCCCAGGGTTCAGTACTTGGACCAGTGTGTTGCAGGGGTGTGGTTTATGTAAAAATTTATAAGGGACCTAAAGGAAAACCCACTGGCCAGGGGAAGATAGAGTTCTGGAAGGAAGAATACACCCAGAAGGCATTGAGGAGACAGTGGGAGATGTGGGGAAGGCTTCGGGATCTCCAGAGAGCCATGGGGGAGGGAGAAACCCCACAATATGCCCTAGGAAAGAGACCAGGGTATATAGGGGCTGAATATAGATGAGTCAGATGTGAGGGGAAGAAAATCCCCAAAAGTAGGCAAGAGCTCCCTGGGGAAGAGCGAGAAGATTCAGACCAGCCCACAACAGGACTCAGTTTTGACAGACAGTTAATACGGAGATGGGGGAAGGAGAGAGAGTAGGGTAGGAGGAGAGGGTAAACCCTAGAAGGCAAGGATCTCAACTGACTGAGAGTTCAGCCTGCCAAGGTTAGCTAATGTGGGGGGACTGCCCGTGGCGGGGCAACTCCCATTAAATCCCACATGGTGTGCCTTGGGGAAAAGGTGAGCAGAAGACACCTGAAAACCTCCGCCTCCATGCGTTAGAATTGTCAGTGAGCAAGGACAAGAAGTTAAGAGGACCAAGATGAAGGATGCAAGGTGGAAAAGAGTGAAGACGCTCCCTGGTGAGTCTGGGTCTTAAAGGAGGAGGTGTGTCACAGGGCACCAAGGTGCCTGTTCCTCTTAGAGCAGAGATTGCCCAGGGAGAGAGCACAAAGATCCAGATAACAACCCAGGTGCAGGTTGCCATGAGAACTGGTTAACAAAGGAATTGGCTGCACCTGCACCTGGTCAGCCGGCCAGAGGAGGCAGGGCCCTAGGTCCATATAAACCCTAGGGCTGGGACTAGGCAGTTAGTTCCCTACCAGCAGTTGAAGGGGAACAGCCTCCAGGAAGGAAGGGCCCAGAGACGTGGTAGCTGGCAGATATGCCACCTGCAGGCAAGGGAAGATCACCCACGCCTGTTTTCCTACTCTCCCTAAGATGAAATAGAGAGTGGTCTTTGTGCGAGACTCTGCCACCCTGGCCCCCTAGCCCGGGAGGTTTGCTACTTCCTGGGGGCATGAATCCAGGACATAGCAGAGAGGATCCCAAAGATTATCCGGCCCCCCGACCACTACCCTGTGATCCTTATCCATGTGGGCATGAATGACGTGGCTTGGAAAAATCCCAGTCAGGTCATGAGAGACTACAGGGCTCTGGGAGTGGGGCTTAGGGGGCTGGGGGTGCAGGTGGTTTCTTCCTTGCTCCTCCCAGTTGTGGGTCATGGGCTGAGGAGGGAGAGACGGGTCAAGGTTGTCAACCAAAGACTGCAGTGCTGGTGTCACCATGAAGGCTTCAGCTTCCATGATCACAGTCTTCTCTTTGGTGGGAGAGGCAGTGGTCTTCTGGGGAGAGATGGCCTCCACCTCAGTCCATTGGGGAGGAGGCTCTTCTCAGCCAGATTGGTTGACCTGCTTGACTGGGCTTTAAACTAAGCCCACCAGGGGGTGCAGGGATTACTGCCACTGCAAGCCCCCTGGGCAACCTTTGTAAATCCAGCAGGCTAAGGCACTTAAGGGAACGCACACCTACTGTAGCCCTGGAATGATCTGTAGGCAAGGCAGGGGCCCCCAATGGGACACTTACCTGCCTGTACACCAGTGCCAGGAGTTTGGGTTACAAAGAGGAGGAACTGATCCTCCTGCTAAACAAGAATGACTATGACCTCATAGGGATAACGGAGACCTGGTGGGACTCCACCTATGACTGGATCACAGGTATAGATGGCTATACCCTGTACAGGTGAGATCATACAGATAAAAGGGGTGGGGGTGTAGCTCTCTATGTCGAGGACAGCTACACATCCCTGTAAGCTGACATTGGCACCCAGGGAGGATGACCGGAGTCCCTCTGGGTTAAAATACGTGGGGAACATGGCACAGGGGACATCATGGTAAGAGTCTACTACAGACCTCCTGACCAGAAACAAGAGCTGGACCAGAAATTTTCCAGGGAACTGACTGAGGCTGCTTGCTCTCAGTGCATGGTTGTTATGGGAGACTTTAACTACCTGGACATCTCATGGGAAAAGCACTCGGTCAAATCTGATCGGTCACAAAGCTTCCTCACATGCACGGATGAGCTCTACCTGTCTCAAGAAGTCTATGGGCTGACAAGAGGTAAAGCGTTGCTGGATCTGGTACTGGCCAAAGGGGATGACCTAGTCAGTGACCTAAGAATCGAGGGAAAGCTGGGTGATAGTGACCATGAGCTGATCACCTTTACTATGCATCGCAAAGCTGGCAAGTCAGTCAGCAATACAGAAGACCTCGACTTCAGGAAAGCTGACTTTGAGAAGCTCAGGAGGCTTGTTGTCGAGGCCTTAAGGGACCATGACTTGACAGGAAGAGGAGTTGAAGAGGAGTGGTTGCTCCTCAAGGGAGTGATCCTGACAGCACAAGGGATGGCCATCCCTTCTTGGAGAAAGGGTAGCAAAAGGGCACAGCAACCCACCTTGGCTCAGAAGGGAACTTGAGGACCTCCTGCACCTCAAAAGAGGTGGATGGAAGGATGGAATATAAAGGATGGAAGGCTGGAATTACCACCAAGGAGGAGTACTCAGCACTGGTCTGTACCTGCCGGGAGCAGATCAGGAAAGCCAAGGCTGCAACCAACCTCCATCTGTCTTCACATACTAAGGATAACAAAAAGTCCTTTTTCAGATATGTAGGGAGTCAGAAAAAAAACAAGGGTAACATTGGACCCCTTCTGAACCAAACGGGACAGCTGATAACCAACACCCAGGAAAAGGTCAATCTGCTCAATGGGTACTTTGCTTTGGTCTTTCATCAGTCCAATGGGACTGGCCCGCCTAGCAAGACATGGGATGCCTAGGGTGAGGGCGTATTTATACCCAGCATCAGTGTTGATCTATTAAAGGATCACCTTGAGAGGCTGAATACCTTCAAGTCAGTTGGCCCTGACAGATTACACCCTAGAGTTCTCAAGGAGCTGGCAGGTGTCATAGCCTGACCATTGGCAAAAATATTAAAAAACTCATGAAACTCAGGTGAAGTACCTGAAGACTGGAAGAAGGCCAATGTGGTACCCATCTTCAAGAAAGGGCAGAAAGTAGATTCAGGAATTACAGGCCAATCAGCTTCACCTCAATCCCCAATAAGATTCTGGAGAACATTATCAAGGAGACCCTCCTGGATAAGCTGACTGAGGGCAACATTCTGAGGGAGAGCCAGCATGGGTTTGTCGTGGGTAGGTCTTGCCTGATGAATCTCATCTCCTTCTATGACCAGGTGATGTATCACCTGGACAAAGAAGAAATTGATGTCCTATACCTGGACTTTAAAAAAGCCTTTGATTTGGTGTCCCATGACCTCCTCATGGAAAAATTGGCCAACTGTGGCCTTGGCTACACCACAGTCTGATGGCTGGGAAATTGGCTTCGAGGTCACAGAGAGTAGTGGTCAATGGTAGCGAATCATTATGGTGCTCTGTGACCACTGGCATCCCCCGAAGCTCTGTCCTTGGACTGGTTCTCTTTAACTTCTTTATCAATGATGTGGACATTAGTGTCAGAAGTGCACTGGCTAAGTTTTTTGATGACACTAAACTTTGGGGACTAGTGTCCACACCTGAGGATAGGCTAGCGATCCAGGCTGATTTGGATAAACTTGGTATATGGATGGATACAAAGCTGATGACGTTCAATACCGAAAAATGTAAGGTATTCCACCTTGGGGGGGGGGGGGGGGG